TTTGATTAAGGTCAAATAGCAAAATCTTTGTTATTGCCAAAACACAGGTACGATATCAATCTAAAAGCAGATAAACGTGTTATTTAATCATCGTTAATCAACATTTTTATTAAATTATAGTAAGGTAAAATCACACATCGTGATTCCCAAATACTTTTGAGGCATACATTTAAAGTTTTGCATCTGCACAGTGTGTTGCTAATGCCCTCCTCAGTCTCATTAGACGGAAGTGACTTCACACGTCACTTGATGCCAAGAAAGTAGAGAGACCTTTAATCCACTTCTTACAACAGTAGTCGTTCCCGTTTAACCTTCATTTTCTTATATCTGGTTTTTTGTCATACATTGTGACGCAGAGCACATGAGTATAAATAGTGAAAAAATGTTCACAGTTTATTAGTCGTTCATGAGTCGTACATCACTAAGTACTATTGTATTGGAAAAAGTGTTGTTTATTAGTTGATAATCAAATAAAATTAGAAAATGTTGCGAAAAATGTGCTTGTCCTTATGTGCTATAAGTTGTTTAGTGATCCATTCAAATGCATCGATAGGTACAAACATATTCAAGCAATATGTTAAGATTTATTCAAAATATTTAACAATTACATAACCTAAGCTTAAGCGATAGTTAATATTTTTCTTTCTTTATAGGACCTATTCTCCAACCTTGCCGAACTGGTGATATTGAATGCATTGTTGCTGCAAATTTACGGACTGTTATACCATGTTTCGCTGATGGAATCCCTGAACTAGGGGTTCGAGGAATGGAACCAATGAATTTCCAAAATATCACTATAGACCAAGGATATTTCAAATTAGTGTTCCCTAATTTAAAAGTTTTTGGTACAAGACAATGTAAAATTTTAGGTGTGAAGTAAGTCATCTATATTTTTTTTTCTGATAAAGTATTTTTAACTCTCAACTTATATGGAAAAACACAAATTTTTGCAAAAATATCTTAATCAATAGTACCTATAGTCAATATTGATCAAAAATTTGTCAACTTCAGGTCAGATGCTCTTCAAAGTACTATGACAGTAACCTTAGATTGCCCACTCGAAGCAATTGGCAAATATGTACTTAGTGCAAAAAGTTATATTTTCGATATCAAGAACGAAGGAAACGTCTTGCTGCAATCAGGTACATACTTTGGTCTTTTTCTATATTAATATCAAACATGGGTTACTTTACAGCAAAGCTAAAATTAAAAAGGAGAAAAGAGTCCATAAACTGTTTTGGAAATTAGCTTATCTATCTTATTAACACAGTGTAAATTTTAGCAAATATTGAAGATATTAAAATAAGCATAGGAATGTTTGTCATGTCAAAGACACTAATTTTACATTACATAAAACCACTAATTGAAAAAAATACGAATATAACAAATTACTTTCTAACAAGACATTTTAAATGTTAATACACTTCAATAAAAAAAATTATTGACATTTTTATGGTCAATACAATTTTATAGTACCGTAAATACATTGAAATTTGAGTGAAATTACCAATATTATTTTAGATTCTATAAGGACTACTATTACTTCTAAGTACGAGACGATTTACGGAAACGATGGCAAACAATATTGGAATTTAATCGATTACCAATATTTCTATGAACCAATGCAGAATTTGTACATCGAGTTTGGAAATCTATTCTCAGGTGATTTCGGAAGAGGTACGTAAATATTTTATAGCTGTTTGGCGAAAAACGTGATATGGATAGATAACATCATGACAAAGTCAAAATGATTAATGCAATTATTCGCGAAGGTAGCTATTCCATCGAATTAAGTCAAAACATATTATTAGCTTTCTGATGATACTGTAAAATTATCAAAACTAATAACATTCTTCCAATTATTTTTTTCTTCATTCTTGAAATCAAATACAAATTAAAGAGTCCCATTATTGAAATCGAATTAAATTACTCGTTAAATCTCTAAGCTCAATGTTTGACTATAGTCAGACATACAGCTTATATCAAACGGTTTATTTTCGTTCCAACGACATAAGTTCCAAAAAGATCACATATTTCACCCTTTTCCTTCTTCGGATACTTTAATACACCTGAAATAAAAGTCGTTCAAATCGGGGAAAAGTAAATAAGAATAACCCACTATTGAACGTAAAACTTATGTTATTCAATGAACGTAAAATATTATCAATACAAATATGATATAATTTATTACGAAACAGAAGGCGTTTTTATTTTAATAAACATTAAGGAATCATAATCATCAATGAATGAAATTTTACTCATTTTATAAACGAATAATTCTATAAACGACAAAATTTTACTTTTATTTTATAAATAAGTTTAAAATGAGATCTTATACTCTACGCTGTTCCCTTAAGTCTTCACTAATATGTAAAACACAAGAAAATATAATCTTGCTGGGAAACTGGACAACGCACTGAACGGATAAAAAATTAAACCTTAAAACTTTTTGTCGATGTAATTTTTTAATTAATGTAATTTTTTAATGTCTTGTGTATGTAACAAATAAACAGTAATTTATTTTGTTTACAGGGCAATTTTTCACGAGTCTTATGCCAAACGGATGGTACACATCATTGGGTAAACTCGCTGAGCCTATAGTCAACCCCATCGTTGAACGATTTTACTCCGCCTTAAAGTCAACTCTTCATCGATTCCCTATTCAATAATTTGAGTGTTCTTAGTAGTGAATTCTGGATTTGGGTATCGGATGTGCATGATGTTTTTTAAATATATTGTAATAAATAATAGACGCCTCAGAAAGGTATTCTGAATAAGTATATACCTTTCCTTCTTCAATAAAAATATTAAAGAAAATAGTTTTCAAAATCTGTTTTTATTTCCAACAGAGAACATACAACTTAACCAAGTTCACTTGCAAATATTTCAACAAGTTAAAATAAAATTAAGAAAAATCGACGAACATAAAATATGTCATTAGTTAAAGGAGAACAATTTAAGAAAGCAAAAAAAAAAGAGTCTGTAATAATGATAAAAATGAGTTGGTACTAATTTAGTGTAACAACTATTATATTTTAAATATGAACACGTATCTATATATATTATATAATTTTCTTTTGCGATTTTGATTTGCCAACCAAACTCATATTTTATATTTTTTATATAAACGGCCTATGTACAAAAAATACGAAATATAGACAGTATGGGATAATATTATATATATTTATACATATATATATATAGTATTGAATGAGGAAACATAAATATTACATTATTAATAACATTGACATTTCACACAAACACATATCTTGTAATTTGATTAAAATATACACGACACTAAACGCACTGGGAACAATATGGTGTAGGCTAGACTTGTACGTATTAAGCCGCAATAGATTGGTAATTTATGGCGTGGGCTGTAATTTTATTATACATATATGGTAAGTTTTGCGTGTTTAACTAATAAAATATCACAAGTTGAACCATATATTCGATACCACCATAGATCGAACCATATAAATCGATGTTGGTGATACCTATATATTCATATGATATAAAGCCATTAATAATACTATCCTGAATTCAGGCCCTCGGTAGTCATCGTTACCTTGATATTCCTTTTTTAAGAGTACTAGCGACCCGCCCCGGCTTCGCACGGGTGCAATGTATTATACATATAAACCTTCCTCTTGAATCACTCTATCTAGTAAAAAAACCGCATCAAGATCCGTTACGTAGTTTTAAACTTAGGATAGACAAAGGACAGACAGACAGCGGGACGACTTTGTTTTATACGATGTAGTGAGCAAAGAGACGGTTTAAATTTACATTTACAAGTGACATTTTACCAAAAACAATTTACATTTTACCATAGACAATTTGTTTTTGAATGATGTTACCATCGTATAAATATTGACAAATATTGACATTAATACTTATACGATACTAACGTCACTCAATTGTTTTGCCTTCCCGGAACCCATCCACTAATATTTAAAGAGACTTGAGATATATATCTAACTGATCTTACAATTATATGTAACCATATCATGCATCATACTTTGTCAATTATATATATATATATATATATATATATATATATATATATATATATATACAGCGTGTCGATACAACCGCAATCGTTATCGTTACAATAAATGAACACACATATAGAGATAACTTTTTAAAATTATTAAGCACTGTACTTTTTTATTTTTATTTCTTGGTGTACAATAAAGTATATTATTATTATTATGGGGATATTCATTTCTTTTCTCGTCTGGTTGGGTTTATAAATAAAGAATAAACATATAGATATATATTGCATATACAGCGTGTCTTTACAATCGCGACAGTAAATGAACACACATATTGGGGATAACTCTTTAAAATTGTATTAAACATTTACATTCATTAAACATCAATATTTACAGAGTTATTAAATTTTCCAAAACAAGGAATTTTAGAACACCCTTACGTATAAAACTGTAACGGAAAGTTCATTTGTAAAGGTCACAAAGCATATGAATGGGTTGAATGAATTTAAAAGAGACAAAACATACTGTTAGAAGGAAAGACTTGTAATGCGACGCTGTGGCGCGAGTTGTATAGGATGTTACAAATTTTGATTACTTACAAGTAGCGTTAGACGTGTGTCCATTTATTGTCGCGATGGTAACGACACGACATATAAATATTATATATAATACATAAATAAATAGGACCCTTATTATTATTATTAAGCATTTACATTATTTAAACATCAATAACAATATCGAACAATATCGAGGAACGCATGACAACAGTCGAAAACGTCTAGATTCTGATCTCAATAGGAAACAATCTGCAATTATTGCGAAACTTCAAGCTGAAATAAATCAACGTGAACAGGAATGTTTACTAGTACAGTACCAGAGGAGCAAAGAGAGAACCCAATGCATCTGGTGTCTCTTTTAGCAAACAAGCTCGGTGTACATTTAGATGAACGAGATGTGGTTAGCGCCAAACGACTGGGACGAAAACTCGTCGAAGCCGAGTCAGAGTAGGGAAGTGAAAGGGCCACGACACCGACGCGGCCGCGCGCCCTGGTGGTTCGGCTGGTGCGCCGCTCCACTCGAGAGGAGCTGCTGCAAGCTGCGCGGGTGCGTCGCGGCGTCGACTCCGCCGGCATCGGCCCGCCTGTCACTCCTCATCGTGTCTATGTTAACGAGCACCTGTCGCGCGTTAATAGGCAATTGTTCTACAAAGCACGTGAGGAGTCTCGTCGCCTCAAGTGGAAGTTCGCCTGGACTAAAAACGGCAAAATTTTTGTAAGACGTGAATCTACTCAATCTGCAATAAGAATCTGCGACCATGCTGACATTACGAGGGATTTTGTTGGTAATACAGTTAGCCATAACTAGAGTATTCCTTATGTATTTTTATTTGTTTGTTTCTTTTTATTTCTTTTTTTTTTCTGTTTATTTCAATTACTTTGTCATCTCGATTATTTTACTTTTTTTCAAAGTGGACCAACGGAAGGGTGATGTCAGGCTGGATATCTTTCTTTTTATTATTTATATGTATATTATATATATTATTTTATACTAATATTATTATTATTTTTCACCTAACTGAGGATTATTATTTTATACTAAAGTTTTTGTTTTGCACTACATTATCACTTGTGTTCCTGATAATGACATTAGTAGCTGAAAAGTTTAAACTGTTAATATATTCAGCAGTCAGGAATAATATTTTAACCATATAGTCCATTATGTTTTCGACAATACTGTCTCGGAACTGTTTAGTAACGCAACGTGAAGGATTTTTAACTGACCTGTCAAATTACTGTGATTGGCGATACTTAACATTGTTGACTCGTCTTTTGTAACACTGTAAATATTGTCAACTAATTTATTCCTTTGTGATGAAATTTATACACAAGCGTAAATTATCTGTGGGTTTTTTGAATCCTGGTTCGCTTGGGTCCCGTCACGATGAGTTCTTGGTGGCAATGGAACGACACCGAGTCGATATAATGGCGATAAATGAAACTTGGTTGCGATCGGGTGAGGAAGGTCGAGCTCCAGTTGTACCCGGTTACCGCTTGCGTCATGTTCCGCGTCCTCCAGAAATTAGATCGCGTGGGGGTGGCGTTGGCTTTTACGCACATCGCAGCATTAATACCCGGACCCTAATGCACCTCTAATTGAACAAATGTGGCTGGGGCTCAACTCTCGGGGCATAAGTTTGGCTATCGGTACCGCTTACCGCCCACCTTGGCTCAATACCGATAATTTTCTTGATGCTCTTACTGAATCAATAACTAGTTTTTCAAATTTCGACCATATTGTTCTCCTGGGTGACTTTAATATTACCTTGCAAAATTCTCACGATAATAACACCAAAAAAACTTTTAGACTTTATTAATTACTTAAATTTAAAACATTACATTAATAAACCGACTAATTTCACTAACCACAGTGAAACTCTGATAGACTTTATTTGCTCAAATGTACATATACATGATCAAATCAAAAGCCCCAAGCAGAATCCCATAAGACATTATACTGTGAAAATAACTAAAATATACCAAGCGAGCCGTATCTGCATCAGTTAACTGTCTTATTTTTTTGACCGCGAAAGCTGCTGAGCTAAGTCTACTCGCCAGTCTATTAATATGGGGGCCCCATTGCATTTTGGCATCAATAGTTATGCCAAGGAATACAGTTGAGTCAATAGGGTCCAACGCTTCCCCATATAAAAGTACATCAGTTTTTGCATGTTTAACATTGGAGGAAGTTGTAAATTTAATACATTTAGTTTTTTTATTATTCAACAGTAAATTGTTAGCACTAAACCAATGTACTACAGTAGATAGAGTATTGTTTACATCGTCATAACTTAAAGAACGTCGGTTTACTTTAAAGATTAAAGAGGTATCATCCGCAAACAATACTATCTCATGATTATTATTAACAAGATAAGGTAGATCATTTATGTAAATGAGGAAGAGAAAAGGCCCAAGAATAGATCCCTGCGGGTCCCCCATATTTACCAAGGCCCCGGGAGATCTCTTGCCATTCACGCCAACTCTCTGAATTCGATGGCTCAAGTACGATTTCAGAAGATTGAGTGCGGCATCTCTTATACCATAGTGGCGTAGTTTCCTGACCAAGGTCTCATGCTGTACACAATCGAAAGCTTTGGTTAAGTCACAGAATATTCCTAAGGCATCCTGCGACTTTTTCCAGACTTCAAAAATATTCATAACGAGCTGAACACCCGCATCAGTTGTTGAGCGACCCCTAGTAAACCCATATTGCTTGTTATGTAATAAATTATGAGAGCTAAAATGCTGTAACATTTGATTCAACATGATTTTTTCAAAAATTTTACTAAGAGTTGGCAATACAGAGATAGGTCTAAAATTATTGGGGTCGGAAGTACTACCAGATTTAAACACCGGAATGATTTTACTATGTTTCATAAGTTCAGGAAATTCGCCAGGATTGATACAAATATTAAAAATAGTTACTAGGTAAGGTGATATTACATCAATAATAGAACTGATCACCTTAACCGAGATCCCCCATAGATCTGCAGTTCTTTTAACATCTAAAGTTTTAAAAGTTTTAAAAATTTCTGTCTTGTTTACAGTAGTAAATTTAAAATTGACTTTACATTCCATAACATTCTTTTTTAGTAATGACTCAGCAACTGTCGGTGAGGAAAGAAGTGACTTAGTTGTTGAAACGGGAATGTCAACGCAAAAATTTCTCGAAGAAAGTAGCAGCCTGTTGATTTGAGTTAATAGAATTATTATCATTAGTTAACATTAGGTCAGATTTGCGCTTCGTGACTCTTCCCGTTTCGCTATTAATTATTTTCCAAGTCATTTTGATTCTATCAGGTGAATTTTTTATTTTATTCCTAATATATAGAGATTTAGCAGTATAACAAGCTTTTTTAAATATTTTAGAGTAGGCACTAACATAAGAAACAAAACATTGACTATGATTGTATGTCCTTTCACTATAAAGTTCATACAATCTACGTCTACTATTATGAATTCCGACTGTTGCCCATTCATTGAAAACTACAGAGCTTTTAGGTTTGACTGTCTTAGGAGTAAATATAGTATTAAATTCCACTTTAATTAAATTAAATAATATGTTGTGAAGTGCATTGGGGCTATCATTATAAGGTAGATACGTCAGCTTTTTTGTTATATTACTTCTAAACTTCTCAACCCGAGTTCTATTTACAGGAACAACCATTATTTTTTGTACCTTAGCACTACTATTTTTTATATATGATTTAAAAGTGGCAAGTTGTCCGCAATGGTCTGAAGTAAATATATTAATAATAGACTTATTAATTGGGTTACAATTTGTAAATATGTTATCTAAACAAGTTGCGGAAGAAGTAGTGATTCTAGTTGGTTCAAGGAATAAATTGGCAAGGTTATATGAATTTAACAATGATCTGAATCTAATAGAGGTGGTAGAATTTTCTAATAAATTTATATTAAAGTCACCACAGACAATAATATATTTATTAGACTCAGATAACTTCAACATCAATTCTTCCAAAACATTTTCAAAAGATTCATATAACGCACTAAGAGGTCTGTATACGCATACAACAATGAATTGCTCAAGCTCCACACAGGCTATTTCAACAGTCTGCTCAATAGAGAGGCTCACAACATCTTTGCGGTTCTTAAATTTTAAAGCATTATTAATAATTATAAGAGAGCCACCACGTATAGCTTTTTCTCTGCTGAACAGACTAGCAACCTGGTGACATCTGAAGTTAAATATGAACTGGTAGTTTAATAGCCAATATTCAGTAATACATAATGTATCAATATTGTTACTGTTCAAAAATAACTCAATTTCCAAATCTTTACTTAACATTCCTTGGATGTTTTGATGGACCAGGCTAATACAATTTAATTTATTATTACAATTAATGTCTTTATTCAATTTACTTACATGTCCTCACTAATTTACTAGAATAAGTTAAGTTTTTAATTGAAGTGTCAGAGATTGCCTCTGTTGTCTTCTTATTTAATTTAAATTACTTGGAACGGATTCCAAATTGGTACATGTCAAATTTTGTTGCTGTTCAATAGAAGCAGCAGTCTGGTTAGCCAAACAATTGGCTGGGTTTAAAAAAATGCAATAAGATAGCATATAAGCTAACTGTTTTAAATAAAAATTGGATAGGATGAACCTATCATATGTCAAATTGGATGATTTATAATTTATAATATTATTTATGTCAATTAAATCACAATTTAATTTATTTATTTGATAAACGGGTACATAATTGTTATTTGTCAACATATATAACATATGATTAAGACTATGTCTATAATTGTTTTCCTGTGGCAACCCTTTTACATAGGGAAATGTGAACATTATTATTTTTTTAACATTTAAGTTTAATAATTGATCATAATAATTCTGTAAGTGTTTCTTGTTAACATTTCCCCTTCTCCCAATTAATATAATTAAGATAGTGTTGGGACAATGAGTGCTTGTCAATATTGTATTCATTATTTGAGAGTAAGTAGCTCCGGGCATACAATGATTAGAAACTGATTGTCCCTTACATATATTATTAAGCAACGACCCCATATTCCTCCCTAACTCATCACTATAAACTTTGATAATATCATTACTGGGAATATGTTGTGTTACTTGTTCATGTGTGCTGTTGATGTGGCTGTTGTGATTCTCATCAGTTTGAGAAGAAGGCACTTCATCAACATTCAGCCGAGAAAGACCAAGGGAGCTTTGACATTCACAAACATAGTTTTTTGTAAGTGAGTCAAAGCGGTCTGAATTATTCTTACATATGTCAAGCAGGTCGTTCATGGCTGAAATATGTCCAGCAATTTCTTTTTGGGACATCTCATATTTTTTTTGTTATCGAGTTCAAAGAACTCTCTAAAGATAATATTTCAGCCTGAAGGGAATTCACATCAGCCTTATATGATAACTGAACTTTTTGGGCCTTATTATAAAATATATAAATTTTTGACCGAAGTGAAATTCTCGCCTTACAAATTTTTGCAAAATTTTTGTTACTATTATATTTATTTTTTAGCAAATGTTGTGTTTTCCTAATAAATTTGTTAATTTTGACATATTTCTTATGCTTTTTTTTACTAAGAACTGGGTAAGAGGGTCCAGAGTCATCGCCATTCAAATCAATTGTACAGATGTCATTTTTAAAGGCAGAGACTGAGGATACCATATCAGGTGTTTTCTCAACCAGTTCATTAAATAGACTCTGGGCTTGAGTGTCCTTTAAATTTAGGTTCTTATTCTCTAGTTGTAGAATGATTTGTTGGGCCATATTCAATTCAGACCTCAGCACAGCAGTGAGACCGAGGGCTTCCTCATACTCACCCCTGCACTGATCAAACCCATCGACTATTTTTTGCAGATTATCATTATGTTCTATTAAGTTTATATATTTACAATGTAGGTTTGATAGTTCATTTTTTAATTGTTTATTCTTATTGATAATCTGCAACGTCTCTTGTTCATTATCATCCCTCTCTCTCAACAACTGATCACACTGTGTTTTGGTCGCCTTTAACTCTTGGAGCGCTAGCTGGAGTTGTTCCTCAACCTGGCGCGCCTTGGTGTTACGGGTCATCATTTTAAGGATAAGTTGTAATTAGGTTGAAAAAGAAACAAAATTAACAGTGTGCAATTGAAAGAGGAAAGAATGACAACAAATTTAAATTTAAATTTGAAATCGTTACCTTAGCGGCGACAACTGACGGAACATAAAAACAACACTTTAGAAAACAAAGGACAATACACCGAGTAAAATTTCTAGTCCCTAA